ACCCCCCCCCCCCCCCAAAAAAAAATAAAAAATAAAAAAACAGTTGTGTGCTCAACAAGGAATGCTGTTTGATTCTTAGCATGTGCGATGATGGATGGGATCCCACCCTTTTGCGCAATTTTTACACGCGGGCCTCTGTCTCGGGTTTGAACACTTAACGGACTGCCAGTCGGACAGAAGAAATTTATATGACCGATTACCAGTTTAGGGGGAAGATAGTAAGACAGAAGCGCAGTCGTGGGCGTCTCTCGTTTCTGGCATGAACGCTGAGTTGTTTTTTTTTTCCCCTTATAGTCTTAGCTAAAGCCCCCGGCCAACAGTGATCCGGCTCCCTCAGATAAGGGCACCCAACCGACACAAGACGAGGTGTGCTGGCTCGCTTTGGATGCTTTCCATTGAGACAAACGGTGTTTGTTTGCGCATGTACTCACTCTCTGCCCTTGTGGTAGCTGCACCGCTTCAGGGGGATCTTGATGACCTGGTCTCGAACGCCCACGTACAGCTCGCTTCGGCTGTGCAGGATCAGCAGGCTCCGAATGGGCTGCCTCTTCCTGGCGGGGAAAAGCTCGATCTCTTCCAAGAGGCAGCTTCCCGTGGACTGGTTCAGAGGCGAGAGCACTTTTCTGATTGTGCCGTAATCTACGAGAGGGAAGGAGCGGGTTTTGTTCTTGATATAGCAAAAGACCCCATTTGTACGTACATATAAACGTTAGAGCGCTGACCAAATTTATGAGAGCACTTCCGAGACCATGCAGCATCAAGAAGATGCGGACTCTTTTGATTTCAGTGAGCCTGGACATTTTGAACAGGAATGAACAATTTCAATGCGAGTCTGTCTGTGTGTCATTAAAACAAACCCAACGACATCACTTGCTACAATTTCTCCCGTCCCATGCTCCAGTATGTGTAACAAATGATTACAGAAGAGCAAGCAGATGCCTGGCGAGTGCCTGGTGTCCCACCGATAACGTTTTCCACGCTTCACTTCGGCTGTCGTAGCCTATTGTGACACGAGTGAGATCAAACGGGATGCTGATTGCCGGTGACACACAATAAGGCTGTGAGAATACACGCGAGATGTCGTTATAATCGCTTCTGACTTGATTGTTTGTTTTTTTTTCCTCAACACAATGCTTTCAGGGCCGTAACAATACCACGTGTGGGATTGCATGAGGCGGAACGAGCTTTACCTCTGCAGGATGTCAAATATGTGCAACGTTGAGAACACTCGCATAGTTCATACTTTTTAGTTCATTGCAATTTTGATTTATTGAGTTTTGGTTGACTCCAAAAAACGCGGCGCAGAACTGTGTTTGTCGAGCCCCTTCATTTGGAAAACTTACCTGTGGCTAAATAGATGATATGAAAGAGCATGTCTTTGCCCTGCACCACATCCACGGCCACGTGGCTGAAGCGGACGTTATCCTCCATGAAGTAGGGCACGGCGACCACGGGTTGGACCACCTCGTGCATCAACAAGAACTTCTGGGCGTCCTGCAGGTTCCTCTCCGTCAGGTTCACGTACGAACCTGAGTGGATGGTGCCGCACTGTGGAGGTGGACATGTTGGAGACTGTCACATAGATGACGTGCTGCAAGCTGCGGGTGATCCATACTTCAAGAGAGCTGCGGCGATGAATTCAAATATGTTGTTTTGACACTAAAGAATGAACCGGCCCCAATATTTGGCAGTAAACAATCTTTTCATTGTTATCTGCAGGGCTCTTGCTGTGCACATCATCACACTGAGAGCTGTCGGTACATTTCTTCACCCCGTGTGTCGAATTTTAATGATGAGGCATATCCATCATCTTTGTAAGCTTTTGTCATGCAGCTCATGAACATGTCCTGTATGTGCGGAGTGGACCTAATGTGGTTATATTCTTGTAACTCCCCAGTGCGATCATGACTTGTGATTTACCTCAGGCTAATCATACTTTAGGTTCCAGTTAGCTGAGGCCGGGCCATTGTGTGAGCATTAGTTCGAAGCGACGAGCTGCAGTAACAGCACGGCCACTTTATACGGATCGATTCCCTGCATTCCACCGACTGACAGATGAGCATCATGGAGGCTTTTTCCAGTGATGGGCAATGGATCATCGCCCTCACCACTTTAGCAGACGGGGAGCGCGCCTGGTGAGGGACAGCATCAAGCCTTTAGGCGTGCCTGCTCTTATATTGTTTTCCTCTCAGCAAAGAAGAGTCGCCGTATGAGCATATATCATGTGAGAGCATCTCCCCATCGTGGTTGTGGCTCAGTGAGATTGGCCTTGTGCGCACGGGGGGGGGGATCGCTATGATTGCATATCCGCCATCGTGACAAGACACACGCGGGGCACCTTTGAGATGGATGCGTGCGTTTGCCCGCTCGGTCCAGTTGAGGTGAGGGACAGAAGCATCATTTGGCGGCGTGTGCGCGAGTGGGTCCATCTCACCTTCTGTCCTCAGCTAAGATTGCAAGAGCCACTGAGCAAAGGCACCAGAATGGCATGTTTGGAAAAAAAATTGCTCATGACACAAGGGCTCGCCATTTTGATTGATCGAGACGGCAAGAAGTGAAAGTAAATTCAATGATGCCATTTTGATAAACATTAATCACGAATACTTGGTTCAAACATTCACGATTAGTCGGAGTACCTTCGCGTTATGAATAAACGTGCCAGAAAGCCTCCCCCAGCACAGACGCTAATACAATAACCCACAGCCGCAATACATCTAAAAATCAATGTGCGTGATTGAAACAAACAGCGGGATTTTCTGTGAAGACCGATCGCTTGCAAGGTTTTCATTGACTGATCAGGATGCGTGCGCTGAATGATGGCTTCACAGACTTCATTATTTGCCAGAAGTCTATACTCTATATTTTCTTGTAAACTAGCTGCGTTTTTAACGATGTCTATGTCCGCTCGGGTGTACAAAGGGATGAAACAATAAAATGGTGTCACCTTAAATTCCGCGCTCATAAATCTAATCCGGCAGCATTGACAAATTGATGAGGATGTCACTGAAACCGAGAGAAAGTGGGCGTCGGCCCAGTGGCGAGCATCAGTGATTGTGGGCAATTTTAAAGTGGGGGGGGGGAAAGATGGCAACGCAAGAGAAACTTTTGAAAGCACCTCTGTGGGGTGCATCGCCAGTATGCTGTGAAAGGGGAATGTGCTGGCATTCTTGAGCGGAAGGAAAATTGAGTTCCTCGAAGGAAAACGACTTCCATTCAAACAGCTTGTTTGCAGACATGAGAAAATGTGACAGCGCTGAGTGGCTTTCCATGTCACGGAGTGTTTGCAGAGTTTTCTCTTGTACAACATCGTCACGTTGAGTGCTTCTGCTTGGGAGGAAATATGCACAGGGCGCGCGTGTTCATGTGTGGCAGGCAAAGGGGCGGCGCAGCGATTGGCGGCTCGGCCTTGTAGGGATTTCGATCCCTCACGGCGAGCGCTGAGGATTATCTGTAAAACTCTCAGCGTGAGAGCCACTTGTGCTAATAAAACATCCCCCTTTCCCCTCTGTGTAATCAGCGGTGAGGATAAAGCACTTCAGTGCCGCATATGTAAAACAAGGATGGTGAGCAGAAGGTCTGGGAGACATTCTACGGAATGAAGCTGCAAAATGTAGAGAGCACCGCTGAATTTATTTGAAATGCGAGCGCGCGGTATGGACGAAATTAATTGGACCGAAATGATCGCGGGTTGTTTGAGGAGGCTGATTCAGACTGCTCAAGGTTTGTTTTTTCTCTACCTGGAAGTCGGGGTTGGGGTTGGGGTAGGGCAACCAGGCCGAGCGGGAGTTTTCCTGGTACTTGAAGGGTCCGTTGAAGACCTGCGATATGGCACTCAGATTAAAGGCACACACGGCGGATGCAGCGATGCTGTTTCTGAAAGTCAGGAAGCGGCAAGACGGGAAGAAAGGGGGGATGGCGGGACACAGATGATGGACGAGAGATACAAAGAAGTGTTAGTGCGCACGAGACGGCCAAAGCTGTAAACTGTATTTGGCATTGCCGTGAGCCAGTAATACACATGAAACACACCCGTAACGTCCACCCTGCGGTAAATGATGGCCGCTATTGGCTCGTAAATTCAAAAACGGGACACAATTAAACGCTTTGGCTTGTCTGATTAACGGCACACATCTCCGCGGTGAAATACAGCTTCGGCTTTTCCAGCTGTCACTTCCAGCATGTCCAAATGTCGTCCCGCAACAGTGGAAGACAAGATTGAGAGGACGCTTTTCATTCTCCACTCAGACTTGGCCCATGCGATTTAGAAACCGACGTGGCTGTTTATTAAAGTTAGTACCTGCAGGCGGAATTTTTCCACTACCTTGCAAACGACTTTTGTTTCCAGCAATTGGGAGCCATTGAATCGAGATTAGTCAGCTTTTAGGAAGTGTACGAGTCTGTGCGCGTGTTGCAAAACCGACCAATGAATCCCTTGATTTTTATGCATCTCTATTTTGTTTTGATGTATGTTTATTTAAGATGACATCTGCTTGTGTAAAATGCGTCAGCACACTTGTACACTCCCAAAAAATGCGTGTTGAATTGACTACATTTTTTTTGTCAAGTGTATCCGGTTCCAGATGATTTCATTTCACGCAGCCACTTGACTCAATAAAAAAATGGAGCAAACACGACACACCGTTTTTATCAGTGTTGTCACAACATCACACGGTCATGTGGAGGCGGTGGCAGCAGCGTTGAATCCCGATGGCTTGACGGGTCATCAGTCAAGCAGAGGGATTGTGAATGAGTGCGAATCACTTCAGTGCCAGTCGCATGAAAGTCTGCGGCGCGTATGCCCCCTGGAGTGCCAGCTATTTACGATCACTGGGCGGGAACTGAACCCAAAGGTTCGTTTTTTTTCCTTGATGTTTGCAAAATGTCTTTTTTTTTGTACATGCAACAGTCCTGCTAAATATTCCGTTTTTTTTTTTTTAGTGAGTTAGTTTTGTTCTCGTTGCTTTGCAAAGGTCTTCCAGCTGTTCCGACTGCAAGTGCTTCTCGGTGTTGAAGCGCGTTGAGTTGCCTTGTGTATAAAATGTGGATTTGCGGCGACTTGATTTGCACCAATTTCTCAGTGGGTAAGACACAAATCTTGCCAAAATCCGTGAAGCAAAACGTGGTGCCGATCCTATTACATGTGAAAACTCACACGTTGGTCGTAAAGATGCCGTAGAGCAGCTCCAGTTCCGGCAGGTAGAAGGTGCCTTGCAGCTCGTTGTAGTTGAAGGGGATTTCTCCCGGCCGGGAACAGTTGAGTCGAGCCTTCATGAAGGTCGTCCACGTGTCCTCCAGGAGGAAGCGCCCGCCGATGTCGTTCTTACAGACGCGGCCGGCGCGGGAGAAGACGGTGCGACCGCAGTCGTGCTCCACCGCGTACTCCCGAAAGAAGAAGTAGGTGAAGTTGCCGATATCGTAGGATGACACAAAGTTTGGCTCTGTGGATGGAGAAGAGAGAAATTGCTGCGCAAACCGTGTCAAACAGATCCAGTCACTGCGTCTGGGCGCGCGACGCAACCAAACAGCGGGTGACCAGGATTAATAACTACAGGCACTGTTATTAATGTCTTTGCATTCCAATAGGAAAACTCATTTTTCATCCTGAAAGGTTGAGAAGAGAAATGGCCAGAAGAGGTGAAACGCAACAGTTCTCAACCTGTCAGAAACGCGTAACCCCAGCGACACCGCCTGAGCAACCACGTTCATCTTTTATGTATGACGGTATTGGATCCTAACCGCACGCTTTATTCTCCTTGGCGGTGATTTAATTCATCCTTAAATGGAAGTGTAGCAGTCCCTCCTTTCTCATTTCAACCTTCTTATCCTCGGCACCTTTAAAGGGTGGAGCAGGAGAGAATAACAAATCTACACGCCAGAAAATTAGTAATGAAGCACCCATTTTCCCAGGAGTTGTCATCTCGAAGCATATGGTGACTTCTAATTTATTTTTTCAATTTGGCTGTTAGTCTGCTAGAGGGACTGCCTGACCAAATAAACTTCTCTTCCTCTTTGCCAAACACTCTAAGCTGTCTTAAACTCTCCACGATGCACCCAGGTGCCATTTTCCAAAAGTGCTTTTTCATCTTCATCGAAAAACTGAAGAATTACAAGCTTGGCGCTTCGGGATGTGATGGATATGAAAGCATGCCATAACTAACAAATGTGGCTGAAATGAAAACAAAACCAAACAAAACAAAATTAGGCTCTTTTCCAACTTAATGAATTAGGGGACGAAAGTAATTCTTCAACCCAGAGGCACGCGTTACACCTGCCAACCTGAGAATATAAATCACTTCCCACATTATTCGGGTTGTTTGAAAGTGCTTCTGACGCTATGGTAGACACAATTCTAAACATAACGTTAAATTGTTGTCGTTTATCTTTTACTTTGGGTAGATAAGGTGTATTGAGAACATGAAAGCGCCAAAGAGCAATTTGAATGCCGGAGAAACTGCTCACTTCTTCAAAACCTCCATTATTATTCATGACGGCCTACCTTGACACTGCACACTTCTTTTCAAACTGTGCCATTATTTTCAATCAAAAAACACAAAATGCAGTGCAGGGGCATGCATTGTGAGGCAAAAAATAAATACATAAATAAACAGTCATGAATATCTCAATAAACTCCTAGAAACAAACGCGAGCATAGCGGCAGCCCTCAGTGAAGCCGTCAGAACTGCGCCAATTGTGGACGTTGACGTGTTGTTATTGTTTATCATTTTCAGCTTTACATCTTCATCGTGTCATTTCTTCAGTGTCGTCCCATGACAACACATAAATAAAATTTGCAAAAACATAGGCGGTGTACACACTTTTGCGAACGACTTGACGAAGCCTTCTGAATCCATCACTCAAACCTAAGTGCAGCGTTGTAATGGCGTGCGAACTGTTCGGCCTATTTTAATGGCCCTGTACTCGGATATAATCTCTCAAATGTTTGCATTCCATTATCTACACCTGCCTACCATTAAGCCACTTGGAGTTGTACTGGGCAGTCCGTAGTGGTGGCAGGCCGCCCAGGCTTCGGTAGATGGCGGGGTCTCGCCCTGAAAAGTCCATCGCTGTGGCCGCGTAAAGCTCGCCGCTGGATGTGATGAGTGCGGTGGAGTTGTGGAGGGGATTGTACGGACATCGGGCCATTCCACTTATTTGGTCATGGATCTCGGTCAGATTGGTGAGCTGGGAAAAAAAAGAAAATAAAATCATCAGGAGGGTGAGTAAGTGGAAAATACAGCAGTAAACAAATGGTCATTGACAGGGCAGATATTTCTAAAACATACAATTTGTTACACAAGCGTCTTTTGGGAACTGAAACAAAATAAAAAGTAATGTACTTGTAAATGAGATGCATTTCTTATTTCTCAATCATGGATCATTGCAGAAAGCGGGCAGGAAAATTTAGGACAGCATATCAAAGGGCGACATTAAAATACAAACCACTGAGCTCTGGTAATGTTTTCTTTTCTGCTGCCAGGATGCAAATGGAGCAGACAAAAAAAAATCATTACATTATGTTTGGTTCATATAGCACACACAAAAGATACGAGTACAAAGCTTGGAATGGACGAAACCTAATCATAGGGCAGCTTTGGACTAATTAGCAGCATAAAGCACACAAATCCAGCAGCTGCCAAGTTCAAAGATAGGACAACATATGATGTGATATGACGCCAGCTATTTCCAAGGATCCTTAAAAGGTCTTAGCTTCGGCGTTTCCTGTTTGTTTTGCGACTCAGTGCAGCTGCTTGTCTGTGAAAAACATCACTCAAGCACATCTTTGAGAGGCTTTTTTTTTTTTGCTCATCCCAATATAAAAAAAAAACAATTTCCAGCTTGACCCTGACATTACTTTGACAACCTACACTTTTCCTCCAAGATGTATGACATCTTGCTCCAAGATGTATTATTTAATAGTCAACACAATACACAAGGATTAGCTCGGGGGGAAGTTCATTTAAGTTTGCCTTGAAGCGGAGGAGTGATTCTGGATGCAATTACTTTTCTATCACTCAAAAGTTCCGCACGTACGGTGACACAAGTCCTCCAATGTTGGCTCAACTATAAGCCTTGACCCATACGCAGCTCAATAACCTCTCTGGTCTCACACACTTTTACTAAAGACGTAATGAGTCGGCCAGAATGGCAGGCGGCACTCCACCCAACAAGAAAAGGCGAGTTCTGGAGTCAATTTCCGATTTGGATCAGAGGAGGTTTACGTTTGCGCTGTCCACGTCTGCTCCACCCAAACCACAACAAAACAGAGCGCTTCTGCATGCCCGGCCGGCTGCCTTGAAATGAAAGCCTACAATTGACTGGACTCCTCCTGTGGGCCGGGCCCGGACGGGTCCGTTTTAGGCCATTCCAAGGAAGAGCAATGACAGATCAGCTGTGCATGCAAGAGGAAGTGAATCTAAAGCGGCTCTTTTGTGCAGTCAGCAGCTGTACAACAAGGACATTGAAGTGTCTCTAAAAGCCCACAATAAAGGCTTTTTAAACACCTCGAGAATGGGCTTGATATTTGATGCAACTGAGAATTTAAAATGGTACGATGTGACAGGAACCCTAACCACGAGCATTCATTGAGATCAGTAGATCCTTTTTTTTTTTTTTTTTTGGTCACATTTTTTTCCCTACACAGTGGGAAAACACATTCTGAAAATAGGTCTATGCCATGCGTGCCCGTTATACGATAAAGGTCAAAGCGTCGAGAGCTTAGGGTGTTGCTTATACCGTTCGGTTGGTACAGATGGGAGTGAAGGCGTTGGTCCCGCAGGTAAAAAGCCGGTTTCCATTGACGAGCAGCACCCTGATGTAGTTCTGGCACTCCTCCTGCAAAAACAGACCAGAGAACGATGGACATTAGCAGCTGGAAGCCGAGCCGCTATCTACTTATTGATGAGCGGCAGCATTCGGCGCGGGGGCTGAATTACACTTTGTGCTGGCTAAAGAGACCAAAACACCTGAAACGGCGGGAGCGCCGCTCTGAAACGTGGTCGAGCTTGACATCATACGATCAAGCCTAATGCCGCTCAAGTCAACAGGAAGCACATCTGTGTGTCAGGTAGCTCGCTGACAAAACACAGTCAAGGCAGGAGAGGACCACTCGACATTAGTTGTGAAAATTGTCTCGACTGGGTCAGAAAGTGAAATCGGAATGTCGCTTGACACACTTCGCTCAGTCATGTCTCTTCTCAGCTTTCTGCCCCCGACAGAATCAATTCACTTTGCTCTCGCCGACAGTTAAGTACACACTTGCGCTCCCTTTCTCTTTCGTTCAGACTTTGGCGTGGGCCTGCAGCAAACCACTTAGCGGGAGCCTCAACAGAAATAAAGTTGGGTGCCGGCATGATTGATTTATCGAATGATTGATTGCCGAGGTGAACTTTGCCGTCAGGGTATCAGCTAAGTTTGGCTTGAGATCTCCATCTACAAGCCCACGACAAATGCAACCACTGTGGTCGCCGATTGATTTTTTATTTTTTTTCTCTCGATTGACAAATTTTCACAGGGTTTGGTTGTTTGAATAGGGCCGTCGAGGTGGCCCAAGTAGAAATCCAACACCTTTTACAAGCTGCTCATGTCTGAGACAATTAAGATGCCCTTGGTAAAAGCCCACACCAGTCTTATCTTTCACCGTCCCACAACGGTCCGATAGAATGGGGGACTTCATTCCATTCCTTCGGGTCAAGATGGAAGTTGACTCTCAAAACCGAGAACTATTTATTTATTTTTTTTTTTAAATGCATGCTCACATCAGTAGTTGCTACTTCGACTGCTGCACTACTGCAGTTTTTAATGGCTGCAGCCAGCCTCCGTGAAAGCATTCAGCTATGGACGTTATGTTTGTGTAATTCTTTCGAAAGGCCCGGTCCTAAAATAAATAATGACGCAGTTAATATTTTCCCAGACTTACAGTCCTGTTTACGAAAACGTCTCAACTAATGTTCCGTGACTGTATTGGAACACACAGGCTGCTGTAGTTTTGCTCGAGAAGAAAAAAAAAAAGCAATCAGGTCCCGTTAACTAAATTCGAGTCTTTCTTTCAGTTGAAATACATCAAATGTATAATAGCACATAAATGTACTCAAAGCACAGGCGCTCTGTCTATGCATGAGCTTATCAGTAGGATATATTCTTCCAGACAACCCCAAAAAGGCTCGTCAGCCGCAGCAGCAGAAGCCGGCCCTTTATTGCTATTCTTAGCCTGAACCACATGAGTCTTCTCTCACAGTGGAAGTGAGGAAAACAATTTTACTCTCAAGGACTGAGGTAGGGTTGGACTGTAATTCACGAAAACTACCCCTTCCGGATAGCCTCTGCCTGCTTGTCAAAGATCCAGACCGTACGCCGCGTCAAGTTAACTACAAGTTGACACACACGAGCGCGGATGAAAGCGAAGTTGAATTTGGTTATAAACCCAAACAGCTGGCTTGACACATAACTGACAACGCAAGCGAAAGGTTCACTCATAGTTGACAAAAGATGGAGCAAAACGGTCTCGTGGCGGCAACTTGATAAGGTAAGATACCCTGAAATTGAGATTGTTGCGCTTACGTACCAAATAAGACTTTTCTACCTTGGTTGCCTCACTTTTTTTCTGGCTGCCTCTCTACAAAGTTGTGACTTACCGAAAGTGCAACGCCTCATTGAACGTTCATTGCACCATTTACGACATTATTCGATCCCTTATTTTCTTTATGCAGTTGTGGATCAGAGCCCCGGCGTGATGTCACAATGTCAACTCTATGATGTCACTGAGAGTTAAAAGAAGGGTCAAGCCATTACTTTCATGCTACCCATGTGAGTTTTCAACTTGTGTTCTCATCACATTTTGAGAGTATCAAAGGCAAATGGTTGGATTCATCTTCCAAAATGGTTGACTGTATTCATTCTTTTTTGGGCTGACCCTCCGCGACCCATGTCACTATCAGGTGTGCGCGTGTGGGGTCCAGCTCCTCAATGTCAAGGAGAAAAAGCTGGTACTGGATGGAGGTCTATTTGGGATGAGCAACAAAAAGAAACCTTCCAAATCAGAGAAGAAACCTACTGTTCCTTCCCGTGAAAACGAGCCACAAAAAAAAATTGTGATCTGTAACCGAGGACTCCTTTACAATGTTCGAGTTCCACGTGAGGAACCGCACGACGATCCAATAAGTCTTTCGGCGTCCGAGTACGATAGAATCCTCGCGAGAGCCAGGGACCCGAGTTTCCTGGCCAAGGAGAAAGAGATCGGGGCAAAGGCTTCTCAAATAAAAAACGACAACACTCAGGCTGCAGAAGAAAGGAAACGGCAGATGATTGAGAAGGACGCTCGCCTGGTGAAGCAAGAGGTACGAACGGACGAGCAGTGCAAGAAGCAGAGCTTTGAACATTATCGGCACATGCGGTGCAGAGCTCAAATGGAGAAGGACAATCAGATTCTCAAGCTGGACACCTGTATTCAGCGTTGTAAGATCCAGGCTGAGCTGGACACCCAACTTGAGTGGAAAAAGCACTGCGAGGCTGTAGAGATTTCCAAAGAGAGGGCAGAGTTTGAGCGGGTTCGCAAGTGTCATCGGGACGCGCACTTCAAACACGAGGAGAGGGAGAGGAGGCGTAAGGAGGAGGGGCGCCTCCACCTCGACGCACTCAAAGGGCAGATAAGGGAAAAGGAGCACGCTGCGGCCGCCAGGCGTCGGGAGTGTCTCAACATGGCCAAACAGGTGTCTGAGGAGGTTTGCCTCGAAAATACGTGCATCGATGAGCTCAAGGAGGAGAGACTGAGCGAGCTCAGAGCTTCTGGGATTGGGGACAAATATTGCAGTTATGCCAAAAGGAAAACCACACAAGTCGGAGCAAAATCCAAACATTTCCAGTACCATGCGCTGTGAGCTTTGACCAACGTGGAGTAAAATGGATACAACTACCATGAGGACGACGAGGGCGAGGTGCTCGGCCAGCTGCGCACGGCACCGAGTAACAGTTTGTGGACAAGGCAGCCGCAAACATTGACGGATGACTGCAAGTTTGCCAACGGTGGCTGTCGCAATGGCCGTCTTATCACACCTGGATGCCGATCCTTCGTTACAAAACCAAAGGATCTCGGGAAAGTAGAGTCTTATCTTTATTAAATTAAAGTTTGTCTCTTCATCTGACTATTTTTGGCTTGGGCGGTTTTATGGATGGGCAAATAACCTCTTCATTTGTTTATTTAAAACAAAAAAAATGAGTGTAGAGTTGAGCCACAGCTGAAAACGGGCAACCAACATGAGCAACCCCTTCAGACACCGTTATTGTGCTTCATACAACAGTCACGTGATAAAACAAATAAAAATAAACCAATCATTGACTGTAAATGTTCACCACAATCTGGTAGGTCAACGAAATTTAGTAAGATGCCCGCACTTGCTTGCTTTTCATGCCGGTGCTAGGTAGGTGCACTGATCGTGATACGAGATGTTTACATGTGCATGTGATGGATGTCGTAAAGAGGGCATTTTGCACAATCACATGACATCGCTTGTCTTTTTTGTTCAGTTTTGTAGTCCAAGTGCCTAACCGTATGCAAATTAAAACTAACCAAAACAAGTCTTTCAGTGGCTCTTCTCTGTCGCTTCTGCACTTCTTTCTCCCAAACACCCAATCACGATTACAACACGATTGTATGAATGACTCAAGGAAATATTTTGTGGGTCAAATGAAACCGTGAATAGAGTGTCATGTTTAGAATATTCATGATTAGTGAGTGCTTTTTTTTTTTTTTCTCACCATAGGCAGTCCATTTTCCGAGATATTTGGTTCCGTTAGGAGGTTGTCGTTCGGTATTTTGATTCACCAAACCCACTGGAAGCCGTTTTCCAGTGATGGCGATTCCGATTTTTTTTCTGGCACAAAACTGAAGGAAAAGTGCTCCATCTGACCACGTGTCGCTCTCGATGCATCTTCGCTTTGCTGAACACTGAGGCATTAAGTCACATTCATTTGTACATGCAGTATGTATGATATGTAGTTTTCAGAACTCACCAGAGACCCAACGGATCTCGTGGAAATGATGTCATATTACGGCGTCTCAGTTACAAAGCCAACTGTGACTTGATAGTGATGTTGAACTGTGTCCTCAAATTGTGATGTCATCAGTCACCTCTATTTTAAGGTTGTGGATTTTCACATGTTGGACTTGATGTTGACATCATTTGTAAGAAGAGATGGGACAAGAATCCATTTGTAGTTTGGGAATAAACTCTGAATAAGATTTTTGGTTGCCTCGGGCGGAAAGAACAGAATCATGAATGTCGCGTCGTCAACTTTAGGGAGGCAGAGTCGGTACTGCATGAAGGACCCGACCTCCCAGGTGAATGGAAGTCTCTTTGGGATGGAGTCCAACCACAGGGTTCCTTTGATACGAATGCATCCAAAAAAGAAAATTGTAATCTGTAACCAAGGCTTCATATATAATGTCAGAGTCCCACGTGATGAGCTCCAAGAACAAACAATCGGACTTTCACACGCCGAGCACGAGCGGATCCTCGCGAAAGCCAAAGGCCCAAGCATCATCGACAGGGAGCTGGCCGTCTTGAGAAAGGCGGCGATCAAAAAGAAAGAGGACCTCAAGGCTGCCGAGGAAAGAAAGCGTTACATCATTGAGAAGGACCTTTTTGCTGTCAAGCACGAGGCGGAGAGCGAGCTGCAGTCCAGAAGGCTGGCCCACGAGCGCTACCAGCAGATGAGGGAAAAAGCGGCGATAGAAAGGGACAATCAAATGAAAAAGCTCGACAGGTGGATTTTGAACAGCAAAATCCAGGCCGAGCGCGACAAGCAGCTTGTGTGGAAAAAGCACTGCGAGGCCGACGAGATTTCACGAGAGAAGGCCGAGTTCGACCGGGTGCTCAAGTGCACGCAGGAGGCGATTCGCAAAGACGAGGAGAGGGAGAAGAAGCGGATGAGGGACGCTTACGCCCACCTAGAGAGCATCAAGGAGCAGGTGAGGGAACGCGAGCAGGCGGCCCTCAGCAAGCGCAGGGAGAGGCTCTATGAGGTCAGCAACGCCAAGGAGAAGGTTGATGAGAAGACTCGCTGGCTGGACGAATTTAAGGAGGAGAGACTAAAAGAACTCAAGGCTTGCGGGATCCCTGAAAAGTACTGCAGGTACGTCAGGAGAAAGACCAACGAAGACGAAGCGAACCCCAATCAATACCAATACCGTGCACACGATACATATGATCAATTACCGCGATGGACAAACCGCTTGAATAAAAAGCATACAGAGCAGGAAGAGCCACTAAATCCTTTCCCACCCTTACCACCGATCGCCATCAAGGATGTGCCTGAAGGAGGAGATGCAAAATGAAAAGCACCTGCCCCGATGTTTTTGTTTTCCACAGACTCATCACTCCGCCATCCCCTTTGCCCGGTCAATCAAACCTTCCGGCAATTTTCTTCTTAACCAAAGAGAAGTGACACATCGGTGAAGGAAGTAACGAGAGGCGATTTGTGGATTGACGTTACTCACGTGATTTGCTGCGAAGTGTGCAGTGTGTCACTTGTATCGGTGCAACGTATATGATGGGATGAGGGATGTTCTGAGGCGATCGTTGGGATTGTTTGCAAGTGTGGAACGGGATTTGTACTGTCACCAATGATGTCGAACAATTCTTTTTTTTTTCAAAGATCACGTTGTTTGACACGGTCAGTGGGATCAGTCCAACAATGTGTTTGTTTTTGCGGTTGACGGTGTGAAAGTGCACTGCGCCATCCAAAGAGGTGACCTGACCTGATTTATCGGGTGACCTTATAACTACCTCCACAAGCGGATGAGGTTGTGTTTTTAGCTGTGTTAGCACATATCTATGTTTCATACCAGCATCATTAATAAAATATAATTAAAACAAACTTACGGATAGTTGGCGTGTCGTTTCGAAAACTCAAATCATTTCAAAACAAGGCCTGAAAATGAGGTTCACGTTCATTTTGTATTTAATACCTGTCTTGAACAAGTACAAATGCAACAATGCTTGCTTACAACCAGGACAATTTTCCTAACCATAAAGCAGAAGCGCTTGAATTCACATTTCCCAAACCGATGCGTTCTTTGTGACACTTGAAATGCTTGGCCATCCATTCACAACATACCTCCGATTTTCCGCGACTGAAGCAGGCTCCCTTGGTAAACTCGTCACAGTGCCACTCAGCCTCCTGCAGAGAGAAAACCATCGTCAGACTCCTGAAAAACATGTTCAGTTCGCAAACATCAAGGGGAAAATCATGTCAGTGTGAGGAAAAAGCACTTTGAGAGCCCCAACAAAACAATGGCTGACCCATATAACCGATATCAGCTACATTTGTCCAAAGGCTGGCCAGAAAACAAAACAAACCCAAAAAAAAAAACCCGACAGCACATCATCGCTGTTGGTGGGGGAAAAAGAAAACGACAAACTACACAGATACGTTTTGAATCACTCATCTCCACATGAGGATTGGCAAGCGAGCGGGCTGACTTCAGGCAGAGGCCAGTAGTGAATGAATTTGTCATGATGCTCTCACCATCCTAACCACCGCAAACATACCGAGGCAGTTCACGTTTTGAAATCCAATTAATGTGCGTGCCGAGCACAGTCCTCGAGAAGCAAGAGCGCACAGAGCCAATTTGATTGATGTGAGTTAAATAAAAACATTTCAGCGCAAGACCCACAAGGAGTAGGATGTCAACGTATGTGACGGAGAATGGCAGAAGGGGCGGGGTGGAAATAAGAAGATCAAAACTTAAAGGTGAAAACGCCAGCCTGCTCCAATCTCGGCCAATTCATTTCCTCGTGACCTCTTGGGGTGCTGCTGTTGATTAAAGTTCTTTATTCATGAAATAAGCGTTGGCCTCGGGATGACATCGCCACTACGATCGCCTGCCAGTGATAGATGGAACTAATCAGTGGAAAACTTTGAGAGTGCCACAGGAGTTTAAAAATGTGTTTTATTTTTTTGTTAAGGCCTTTGCTTGAAAACAGAATTTATTTTTACTTGCGCTTGTGATGTTATGCTTTGGCTGTGTTTATTTTTTTGTTTGAGCAACTTCCTGGGTACCCTTTTCTGAAATATCAACCCATTTTATCTCATGGTTATCATCCTTGAACATCTCCCTCAAACTTTTAGGAAATGGATGAGATCATTTTTGGGGCAATATTTATCAGGATATTAAGGGTCAGAATCCTCAATTGTGTGTCACGGCAGAGATGAGCACCTTACTCAGAAATACTGATGTAACCAAGTATGGGATTGTATCATCTTCAAATTCCGCTCTTCCTATCTTTGTAAGGGCATCAGTTTTCAAGCCAGCACTTTTTCATTAGGTTGGGCCGGCATACCGAGTAACGTTATAGCCAGCGAGCGCACGTATGCAAATTTGAATAACTGCCTATACATATTGTCAGCATGAGGAAGGATCTTAAATGGAGTCGGAAAGCGAGAGAATCCGGTCCCATTTAAAGACGCTACTGCATATTAAGGCGTGCTTTTCTCTTCTCACTGTGACCTAGTCAATTCAAATTCCAGTCGCGAACTGGACATTCTGTCTGTGGCCAGGCAGTGCCCACACAGGTGAAGAGAACAGCAGCACTGCCCAGGCCCAGCCGAATTGGATTTGGGGGGGCTTTGAAAGCAAAGCGCTCACTTTTATAATTATGCAGCGATTTATCATCAAAAGTCAATTTTCTAAACACTTCTTGTTGTCCGTATTTAAGATGGGAACCCGTTCAAGTGTATCTGCCAGTCAGCATCCCCTTCCTCATGGCCTTCCATCCCATCTCGATGCCATGAGGACACATTCAAGCCTGCTATTGTTCAGTTTCATGTTCTATAAGGTGTCCGTCTCGGTGAATACTTGGAAATACTGGCAATTTCCCGCAACTTCCGAAGGAAAAGACCAAAAGAGATGACTGGGCGTATGGTTGCAATGAAATGGAACACGATTCCAAAAAAATAGCGGCTCTACAATGAGATAGGAAATGGAATCGCATTGAAGTACTTTTAAAGAATGACAGCATTTTGAGATTATTTTAGTGCTGCCAAATATATTTGTGGTTATTATTGTAATCATTACATGCGGTGGTATAGCTACTGAGAATAATTCCTTTTGTTACATCACTCTGAATTATGTGACAACAGTTTCACTTTCGGTCTTCTTCCAAAATACAGCGACAGTCAGACAGTAAACTCGCTGTAGCATTCTCTCTACCCTCAAAATGACAATAGACAATAAAACGTCGCATTTACATGGTTATTTGATACCAAGTGACGATGGTGCAGTCGGGCTGCTAAAGTGATTGACAGGGCAGCACATCCAAGGATTGCATGAGCAGTCACTGGAAAGCAGACCAATCAATGAGAGTCTTGCAGGAAGGTGGCAATGAATCAGAGATGACACACAGAGTTAATTCAGTCATGTCAGTCATTTAGTTAGTGAACCAGATAGAAGATTCAGAAAAGAAGGAGCAACCTGCTGCAAATCGAGATTTTTCTGTACCAAGGCAGGGAAGACATCAAGGCGGTGTTATAACAAACACATCCTGAGATGTGTGTCACTCAAGCGCTGCTGCTACACCACGTGAGCAGTTTTCAGAGCATCACGTCGAGCCTTATACTCAGTTGTGATTGCTCACACGCCGTGAGTGATGTACAGACACCGACTGAGACGGCAGGCCCAGGGGGGATGCATAGAAAGCAAGGACAGGACATATGCAACAGCAAATAAGCAGAGACTGCCGTACTTGAGAAACCTGTCAAAATGAGGGCCAGAATGTGGACTGAGCAAAATAGTGAACGAGTCAGGAGGTGAATTGTAAAGCCGCATTATTATGAGCAAAGGAAGCTCAGGAAGGACTCCCTGCTGCCAGCTGTCCGACTGCATGTGTTATCATTGAAAGACACAGCGCTGGGAGTCAAAGCTGGACAGATTAGACTGAATTCAGTGAATCACCAATATTCCAGGTACGTTCTTGCTGCTCTGGCATCGTATTTACCCTCCAAATGGATACATTTATGCAGAAAATTGGTGGACTGGCATCGCCTGAGGTCTGAACTGCCACTCAAATCTTTTGCTACTCTACAAGATTTCCGAGTGTGGCTGCGAAACTTGTTGGCAATTGTAGCTTTTGTAAGGTCAGACGTCAGTGACGTCAGACCTGTGATAGTGCCCAGCTCACAAGCGCTATTCTAGTTTTTCCCTGCAGGTGTTGGGTTTGGCTTTGTAAAGTCAAGCTCTTTTTCACCCAAAATCATCAAAGCATTCATGGAACTCACTTTGTGCATTGGAAGCACTTTTTGAAATGCTTCCCATGACATTCGAACCATAACACGGCCTAAAATACCTTGGTTGGGTGAAAAACTAAAAATTGAGCACAAGGACTACGCATTCCGATTTTCTTTTATTTCTTAAATAAGCTCAGTATGTGACTCATTAATTGATTTTTGCAGTTGCCCATGACATTCTTTCAGTCCCTCCCAGTAACGGCTTTCGGGTTCCATTATTAAAGAAGGTGTGAAAGCGTGTTATTAGCCCAAGGGTGCAATGTGACTCAAGTGGGCTGCCTTCATTCTCAACATGGAGCATTTTCTCTGAAATTGTCATGGGGGAGGAGTGGGTACCATTGTAATTGGAAGATTGCAGGTTTGCTGGAAAGCTTAAAATGTGCACTTTTGAACACTGACTTGCTCCCGCTTCAAAAGCCTTGCTGACCTCAACTATAGTATTGTATTGATGTGATGGAGAGACACCTCCTAACATACCACAGCTAACGACAACCACCTGTGACCGGAGTGGCAAGTCTAACACCCGAGACTCACCACTTACCCCCCTTTGTGTCGAAAGGCATTATCGCTTTCCCAGATGTTGGCGCAGATGTCACCAAACATTATCTGACTACGTGAGGCTGCAACGGCTGCCCGAAGGCTCACTTCACATCAATGTCCCGCTTTGGCAATTTCTGTTCGACGGAGAAAAGCTCTCTACCGTACAAAGATTTGCCAAATTTGCCTGGAAGGCGGCATGAAAGGGGCTCAATGTGAAGCCAAATGCACAATCCTATCCAACCATTCACTACGGCGCTTGTCTAATGTTGAATGTTATGCTATATACGCACGCTCTTTCACATGATCAAATTGACAGTTGAATATCTGCTTCTTCTATTGCGCCCTGAACATTTTTAAAGTAGGGCAAGGATAAAAGGACATGTTGTTTGCTCTTGACATTGTTTTCCTGATAAGCGAGGATGAGGGCGGGTGACAGAGGGACAAGAGCCGCCACTACAGGCTGTGGCAATGAAAACATATCAAGTAGCAGATGTCAATGCCAACCATCAAGGAAAAGGGGAGGAAAAACTCACGGACCAAGGTCTAACTTTGATGGAGAGCTCAACGCCATTCCATTTGAACAGACACCATGACATGACATGACATGACGTATGGTGTCGATGTACTGTTTAGAACTCCGCACGTGTTCCAATCCTGCCTTTTTTCCTCTCTAATTTCTGAGCGCCAAGTGTAGCTGGCACTTATTGGCAAGCTTATGGTTTCTGGATTCAGTCGATTTCTCAGTCTGACGCTGACATGTGTAACAGGGCAGGCAAGTGGATGCCTTAAATCCTCCATGAAGTCACTCCAATCCGAAAAAGACTCAATCATCATGTGACCAAAGGTTTCGTCGCTCTATGAGATACTTCATACGTTTACTCTTCATGATCATTTGTGCACAACTGTCACGTGCATACGATCAATCAGCCTCACCTGAAATGCAAGCGAAAACCGCGTTGCAGAAATAATAAAAAAAAATAAAAAGATTTAGCCTCTCACACGAATACAAATTTCTATTTCATGTGAATCTATAGCCAGTCAGGCAATTACATTCCAATTTATGTGTTGCTGTCAAGAAGACAAAATAGGCACCACAAAAGGAAAGAAAATACTTGTGAAGATGCAAATGGTAGAAGAGCATCTGCGCGCTTTAAAATTCTGCACTTGCACTCAGCCTTCTGCCTGACATGGAAAAATCGGCTCCAGTCAAATGCAAAGCAGGGACGAACACCTGGGTCATTTCAAAGTTTCGAGCTTCTTTTTTTCTTCACTTGGCAAAGCCCGTCACCGCTGGGTGTGAGCAGGAGAGACAAAAGTTTGACGAGGTCTGAGCTTCAACTTTTGTTCGACCAGGTGAACGTCTTGGGGTCCCAACATCAGGGATTGATTGGTAGGATTGGTGCAAATCTCTCCGTTGAATCCCGGATTAGAGAAGGATTGATGATTATAGAGCGTGGATCTTCACAAAAGCATGTCTGAGCATCCAAAAGCGACTGCATGGGCTTTTCTTCGCTCTCGCGCCGCCCTCGGCTCGCCGCTTTCCATCAGACTTGGCCTTGCCTCCTGTGTCATTTCATCATTTTTCTCATTTTGCTTTCCAGGCAGCTTTGTGTTTACATGGCTGCCACTCTTCTCTCTTTGTTCTATTCACCCATTCTCAATCCCCCGTAGCCTTTTATTTATTTTTTTTGTCCTCTTCCTCAATCTCTTGACTGGTTCTCCCGGGGTTTTAAATAGCAAACATCGGCGGCTGTCTACCCATCAAAGAAATCTTACTGCCACCACCAACAAACAAACAAACAAACCTTGGACGTAACAATATGTGAACAGCGCAGGCCTCCAAAGCTTTTGCTCTGAGAATAATAACGAAAATAAGACGGCGGAGGAGTGCTTGCACTCACCTGGATCAGTGTTAGGTCCTCAAGATTGAGCCTGAAGAGGTGATTTCTGGGAGGAAAACAGGATAACGTCAAGTATGGTAGACCAGACAAACACACAAATGGGGGAATATTCCACGGGGATTTCTTGTCTTCGAGGGAAACAGGAAGTTAGGAAGTCAACTATTTTGAAGGTGTCAACGCATTTAAAAAGGCAGAAATTCAAATAAAACCGATCGTGTGTGTGTGGTGTGCTTTGTTGGTCAATTTGGATACATCACACAAAATGTTACAGTATACTGTACAGGTGCAGTCAACACAGACTTCAAGATTGGTTGAAATATTACAATTCAGATCAAATACATGACAAAGGCAAAAAAAAAATATTTGGCTGGAGTGAATCTCTCATCCGACCTTGCCTCCTAAAGCCTTTTGCTTTCGCAAGCCACAGAATGATTTCGTTGACGCTTGGCCCCATTTGGAGAGCTATTGAATTCCGATAAAAGCTCTGGCAAGAAATAATTTTCTATTGACCAACAACGTATCAGGTTGGCTGCATTACCAGAAGGACACCCTTGAGAACCATTCCCTTTCATTTTCTCTCCGCAGCTGTTTATATGATCTGTAAAACCTGGACTCACCCTCACTCACCCATTTTTAATATGCTTCTATTTATGTTTTATATTTATATACTTTTTGTCTTCTACTTTCTCGCTTTCATAATTTTACAGCTGTGAATTGGGAATTTCTCCATTGTGAGACAAATAAAAGGTTTCTAATCTTATCTTATTTGACATCTTTTTTCCTTCAAAGACCGAGCATCACCCGGGTGGCTTCGACTCCATTTTCTCCCATCAATCAATGAATTCCATGAAAACATTCAATGGCATTCCGCTGAGTGTGGCCCGAACACAACTTGGTGGAATATACTTGAAGGATCCAGCAAAAGTCATGTTTCTTGGCCATTTGAAGAAAAGCTGGTGCCACATGAAACGCAATAAAATACGACACGGGAAAGCAAAACACAGCAGAGAAAAAACCCCCCCACAAAAAACAGGGACTTACCTGGCACCCACAATCAGTTCATTCTGGCTGGGATCAAAGGTCAACTGGGAATAATCCACCGTGCCCTCTGCTTTGAACCGGAAAATCCACGGCTCCATCCCTGTCAAGTGCAACAAAGGACGCGACGAGGGTTAGCCGGGAAGAGTCAAGATGGCGCGACACAGCTGGACAGACGGATTTGTGGTGGTGTTGTAACTTTCCTCAAAACACACAAAAAGGGCCAATTCTAAGGGTCCCGAGACACATTTGAGTGTTCCTTTATGTCCACAGATGTTGCTTTGCCAGTCTAATAGTTTACAACAGCAGTGACGCATTTATTTTGCGTTACGATGGACAAGAAGGCTTCTAAGATGCCAGATGGACACAGCCAAACAATACACTGCTTGTTCAAGTTCATAGCACGAAAATAAATGATTCCCTATGTCAAAAACGGGACAATATGGTTTTATTTCAGAAGAAAAAGAGCCCAAAAATAATGATTGCTGTAGTTACCAAGTGTAAACCGGCTGCACGTTTGAAATGATGTTGAAACAAACGTACGAGTGTACTTCGAGTGTCAAAAAACATCAGGTACGCCAATACAAGATTGGAATAACAAAAGAAAAAAAAGAATCCAATGCAGATAACAGTACCCAGTTTTGATTGACAAGAGCAGTGAGAAGGTCATAGTGTCTTTTGCACATGTACACCAATGGTGAGCTGCATTTAGAATCAGGCGCAGACAACGCCGCAGACAGACAAGGAGATATGAGCCCGGTGTCGTGGCACCCGAGCCATTAACCCTTGACAAATCCAATCGCAGGTCCGGGGAGGTTGCTCCCCACGAGGACAGTCTGTCTGCTGTCTGCTTATTTGATAGGATTACCTCGGAGCACTCGGTCGCTCATTCATCTCACGTTCGATCAATATGCATCAGAACTCATCATGGCGTAACTGTATTGCGGGCTGTAAAACAAACCTTTATTTGGCTTTCAGCATTCAAGTCGAACAATGTGCCGTCTCAAGGAAACATGTTTTTCTTTCTTACCAATAAAGCAAAATTCGGAACCGAAGGCAAGCTTCATTACGGTGCTGCATCTCCAAAGTGCGGCCACGCTTGTGGTTTAATGACCCACACAAACGCCTGCAAACTGCATAATTTGTAGCGCAGCTCAGCAAGTTATTGCATTATCATCTTCACTGTCTCGAAAGTAATTTGCATTTAATTTAGCTCTTTTGGAATCGGGAGAAAATCATCTGTTGGCCCATTTTTGGGTTACAAGCCAACAAGTCAATCAAGATTCATTAAAAAAAAAAAAAAAAAAAAAAAAAAAATGGGGGCGGAAACCTTCATGCCAGCTACAACCTTCTCGAATAGGGTTTAAAAAGTAGACTTGGTGTCAAAAATGAGTGTGTCTAAAGAAACAACTGCATGCTAATAGAAATAATTGTTAAAAAAAAAAATCCCTGTTGCCAACATCTTAGGCCACTGGTTTGAGTGAGTGAACGCACTTTTCGGATCCCACTCTTTGGGATCTTACTTTGGAGTAGAGGATCACCATCTTGGTAGCCTAAATGATGTGCAACGCACCCACGATAAGCAAGAACAAGCAATCCAGGCCCGTAAACGAGATTTCAGTATAATAGGCTCAAGGTCTTCTGACATGGTCTCCGCCTTGTTATCACAAACATAATATCTGTTTACATTTGCTTAAAAGGGAATGTACAGAAATCTTCTTGCGCAACGAGCCACAGGATGCTTTACCAAACAGAGTTTTTTTTTTTTTTTTTGCAAAGGAACTGAAAAATGCGTTGTCCGCTTCTTCAGGCGCACCTGTCAACATTTCGACCGAAAGCATGCGTTCCCTCGACAGCACCAAAAGCAATCGTAAACAGAAGTGTGTTCCGGTGACAAATGCACGAGTTCTGAGCCGCTCCAAACAAAGACAAGTAGAGCGAAGGGACGGCTGCTTCCAAACAACACCTGCGCGTCACGGCTCATGTACTGGGACCAAACTCCAGCTCGACGAAACCAAATAAGTCCATCATTTCCCCTGTTTTCTTTCAACGAAACGCACTACTGATGTTGGCTTCGGTTGTCACAATGAGCATCATGAAAATCAAGACCACAGTCAATTTCACCTGAAACATTTAATTTGTCTGAGCGTCTGCCATGTGTTATTTTTATTTTTTTTTCTGGAGGGAGACACATTTTTAGAAGTGCCAATCCGTGAACCTCGCTAGGATTTTTTTCCCCATTCCTATCAAGAAAATCCTTGGCATACAAATGTTTCTGTGACACCACCTGAGGGACGACAGACTTGGCGAATGCAACCGAGCCTCATAAATCTCCTCCACTTCCCGCGAGACAGCGCCTGCGTGTTTATGCGTGTGTTTGTCCATGCGTGTGAAAGACGTGGTAAATGCTCAAGTATGCGATGGGGGCAAAAGGTCCTGATTGAACGGCACTCAGGATTTACAGCCTTTTGTGATGAGGCCAATAAATGGTGTCGATGGGCTCTTCCAGTCACCGGAGTTCACCCCATCCCAGTTTGGTTTTGTAACAGGCATGACAATTTGTGGGATTATGATCTTGATGTGCCTCGTGCAGGGTTGAAATAGCTCTTCATAAGGCCACCCTGGGGAGGTTCTTTATGAGCCCGTTCAGAGCCAAACAAATCAACCTAATCGTTAACTCAGTAGCAAAGGAAGGAAGAAGACAAGCCCCCAGCCAGTAAATATCATGAAAACCACTGCCGTTACGTTTTCTCAGCCTGTCACATGGGCTCATCGTGTCAGTTGTACACTTAATGCATGGGATTTCATCACGTCATAGACATGGAAGCAAGACGCATGCCTGAGTACTGGTTGCAGATGAGATGAAGGAACAATGACTCACACGCAGGCGGGATCAGACACCCCATCGCTGCGGTGAGAGTTCCCAAAACGGCGGCCGGGCTCAGTGCCAACATGAAACCAAAGTATACGCACATACACGCCAATCCCTTCCTCCCCCACTTGCATCGGTTTCCGTCTTATCCCCTTAACCTCCGTCTCCCTCCTCCTCCAAATAGAACACCCCATCGCTCACATCCCATTTGTTATTCCCAGGCTCTGACACGGAGCGGCTGACAAAAAGGCAGGAAGGATAAATATTTGCTCTCGGCATCAGAGGCCGCGCCGATCTGGCAGAGCTCGACATTACAGCCTGGTGCAGCCAGGATGACAACAATGGCAACATGTGGAACCGATTTTGAAGCGGGGGATGTTTTTTTGTTTTTTTTTCTGGGAGCGGTTCAAATAGTGTGTGGCAGCGGGCTCTCACAGAAATCAAGAGTCAATTCACTCTAAATACAGCTCTGTGGTCATGGGCGGGAGAAGAATTGCAACTATTCAGTGAAGTCCACGGGAGGAAACGGTTCAGACGTGAAGTTGAAAAAATAAACACCTGCTCAGGCCGACACAAATCACAAAACGGAGGGCATTTAAGACCTTGAGCGAACCGAGCTTTCTTCGTCTTATTTCGAACGAGAAACAAGAAAAACAAGCCAACTTTACAACTAAAGGTCCTGCCACTCAAATTTCTGTGGCAGCGCTTTGCCCCCGGGACACTGAGTAAGGCATGCAAAATAAACCAGTGCGAAGCCGCAGGCAGATGGATGATGAAAACTAAAAATGGTGTGAAAAAAGGGTGTTAAGGTAATGGGGAGGGACGAGAGGACTGGATGTGTCTCTGTGGTCGATGGCAGAATAAGAGAGTGAAAAGCACATGACAACTGGGGCTCATACTGTTTCTGGAAAAAAAAAATAAAAATACAGGCATGTAACGAAAGCAAGGTGCAAGCATACCATTAAGATGTTTACATTTGGCAGCAGTGCACTTAAGCCAAATCAGCAAGTAGGACATGTGAGACAACAGCCAGGTCTTCCTGTTGTTGCAAAGATGAAATCTGAACTTCAGTCCGTGGCTGTAAAACAATAAACTCTCCTCCTCGGGGACGGCAAGGCCTTGTTTACAACGCGCTTTACAATGCTTTAAAAAGCCCCCAAACCCTCACTGAAGACCCCTTGTTAAATAAAACACTATTAATATAGTGGGTCTTCAGGGCATTGAGCGGCAATAAGACATTCTACTGTCACATCTAGGCGACTTCTCCATTGTGCACGTCATTCCCCGAACAATAAAAAGAATGGAGTACATTTAAGGCTAACCTCAGCTGAGGCTATATTGAGACTGAGCGCACCTATTGTATAAACACGGTCGATGTTATGCATGGAGCCGTCTTTTCTGAAGCCCGTATTTGAAAAACCACCATAAAAAAAAAATGGTTGGGGGTGACTGAGAGCAGTTTTCTGCCCAAAGCAACCTTGCACCGCAGTAGCAGTTCTGGCAGTCAAGTGTTGTGCCAAGTTTACAAAACCACGGTCATCAGCGGGCTACGACCTATGTGGGGCACGCCCTTCCCCATGCAGCCCGCAATCTCACAAAGAGAGAGAGACAAAGTCTCCCTTGAAAAACATTCAGGCAAACCTGACCCTTCGCCATGATGATTTTTGTCCACTTCTTTCAGGGTTTTGTTGCTTCTGTTCCAGCTTCAACCTTGGAGTGTTATCATATCAGATTTTTTTTTCCTGTCATACTTTCACCAACACAGTAAAAAAATGTTGCAGAATACAGTGGACTCTCGAAGGTCGAATGCAACCAAATCTGGGACGCTTGTCAGTTTTGCGGTGCTGACATCCATCGTCTTGATGTTATAGGCTACGACCTATGTGGGGCACGCCCTTCCACATGCAGCCCGCAATCTCACAAAGAGAGAGAGACAAAGTCTCCCTTGAAAAACATTCAGGCAAACCTGACCCTTCGCCATGATGATTTTTGTCCACTTCTTTCAGGGTTTTGTTGCTTCTGTTCCAGCTTCAACCTTGGAGTGTTATCATATCAGATTTTTTTTTCCTGTCATACTTTCACCAACACAGTAAAAAAATGTTGCAGAATACAGTGGACTCTCGAAGGTCAAATGCAACCAAATCTGGGACGCTTGTCAGTTTTGCGGTGCTGACATCCATCGTCTTGATGTTATAAACGGTGCGTGGAATACGTTTGTGGCACAAGAAGGCACGCTCGGGTTTACCGCCCGTTTTTCACGAGATTATTTTAAGTTTATATCCGAGGAGTGTTTTTTCTGACAATTATTGACCGTAATTATGACATTTCAAGGTTACAATTTGTGCACAACAAAGTACTTTGCACTAAGGCGCAGGAATAAGACGTCCCGTCACATAATAAGACACATTGAGGTTTTTTTTCCTCCATTTGTTTTAAACTAGTGGCCAACAAAGTGTTCTTTTGTACAGCTATTGACTGTTATTATGACTTTGCTGCACAGCGGTGCCTCCAACTTGCTGCCGCGTGAACCGGACTTCATCAACTGTGGACCTTTTGCAAAGGAGAAAAATCTATCTCGACTCAGGTCATTGTGGCACAAGAAGGCACGCTCGGGTTTACCGCCCTGCTTTCCGTTTTTCACGAGATTATTTTATGTTTATATCCGAGGAGTGTTTTTCTGACAATTATTGACCGTAATTATGACATTTCAAGGTTACAATTTGTGCACAACAAAGTACTTTGCACTAAGGCGCAGGAATAAGACGTCACATCACATAATAAGACACATTGAGGTTTTTTTTTCCTCCATTTGCTTTAAACTAGTGGCCAACAAAGTGTTCTTTTATACAGCTATTGACTGTTATTATGACTTTGTTGCACAGCGGTGCCTCCAACTTGCTGCTGCGTGAACCGGACTTCATCAACTGTGGACCTTTTGTAAAGGAGAAAAATCTATCTGGACTCGGGTCGTATAAGCCTCGCTATGAATAGGAATTCATTGCCATCATGTAACTCCTCGTGTCGGTTCTTCTCTTCCCATTTTTTTTTTCTTATCTTATCACGTCTCCTTGCCCAAAAGAAAACAACCAAAAACAAAAAGAAAAATGCACGAAAAAGCGATGAGAACGAATTGCATATTCAGGTAGCAGAAAGTACTTTGCACTAAGGCGCAGGAATAAGACGTCACATCACATAATAAGACACATTGAGGTTTTTTTTTCCTCCATTTGCTTTAAACTAGTGGCCAACAAAGTGTTCTTTTATACAGCTATTGACTGTTATTATGACTTTGTTGCACAGCGGTGCCTCCAACTTGCTGCTGCGTGAACCGGACTTCATCAACTGTGGACCTTTTGTAAAGGAGAAAAATCTATCTGGACTCGGGTCGTATAAGCCTCGCTATGAATAGGAATTCATTGCCATCATGTAACTCCTCGTGTCGGTTCTTCTCTTCCCATTTTTTTTTTCTTATCTTATCACGTCTCCTTGCCCAAAAGAAAACAACCTAAAACAAAAAGAAAAATGCACGTAAAGCGACGAGAACGAAATGCATATTCAGGTAGCAAAAGATGAACCGATGAACAGATCGGTGCCAGCTCCTTTCCAAATACTGCCCCAGCGCAAAAGGCTTAAAGACGGCATTAATCGTCTTATCTGGAGTCACAAAACCGACTGAACCCAAACTATCAGATAGATCCCTATAATCACTATGCGCTGGCACTATCCACTATCACAACCCCATCCAGAGGGATCAGCCTTGTTGTGCTTTAGCGCTCGGCGTCGGAATATTTAATAGCGTCTCCGCGGGCAGCCTACGGGGAGGAGCCTTGGCACCCCGGCAATCTTTAAAAAAAAAAACAAGGATTACATTTCAGTGTACAACGCCTAGCAAGTCACTTCAAGAGATGCATAATAGGTCTAACGAGAGGTTTCTCATCACCCGCGCCCGTAAGTGTGTCTACATATTTTGCTCTGACTCAGGGCCTTCATTTCAAAGGCTATAATTTGGTCGGCAAAAGCTTTGTATGCTTGACAACTTGGAAGCGCGAGATGCGTTCGAACTGCGCCAACGCTATCGTCGGGCCAGAACACGAGTGCTACTCGGTGAAGGCAAAGATGAGTTGGCATCTTCGTGGGGCACAAGGAACTATACGATGGCACATACTGTTGTAAGCACTTTAATTATATTCTACAGGCTTAGTTCTCTTCCTATGGTTTTACATTTCTGGGAGGACCACATGAAGCACGTGCCATATGATTCAACGTCTTACACATGAGCTGGTCAGACCTAAAATAAAAGCTATAAGAAGCCCTGTTGGAGAGGCGTGCGCCATCTTAATCTGGAGTGCTTTTTAAAAGAGCACACCCTTTTGCAATTTCCGTCTCTAACCTTGTCCAGCGGGACCAAATGGAGAGTTGCAACATATCGGCGTTAGTTGGAGGAAAAAGCTGAGGAAACAGCAGTTATCTCATTGATTGACTTGACAGTGGGCCCACTTGTAAATGCTTCTGTCAGTCTGATGGAAAACACTGCCCGTCAAAACCTTTCACGGCTTGTTTTACAAGACAGAATATCCAGCGAATCGTGCTTCTCGGAAGCGAAGCTCCATTGGAAAGTGAAAGGATTTAGGGAATATGCAATGCAGGGAAAAAAAAAAAAGTTGAAATGGCAGCTGGTGGACCGCTGGTTTATTGTTCCCCTTGAGAAACTAGTATTTGTGCGTGTTTGAAGAAGATGGATTTAAATTTGTACTCTGCAACCCAACGTTATGGATCTTGCTCAATTGTGAGCCCATAAATCAAGTCATGTACATCATATTTGGCCCGCACGTTGAGTTTCTCGACCCAGCAAGGATGGGAGAAGAGCCGGAGCCGTTGCCAAGTGACTTCACTTTTTGAAACACTAACATGCACGACACATGTTTCTCACTGAAACTTTTGAATTCTCAAGAAAAAAAAGACACAATATGTCATATTTAAAAAAAAATTAAAAGACAGATACAGAGACGAAATCCTACGTCGTCATTTTGTAAGTGACTCAGGAAACAGCATGTCAGTGACATGGCTCAACTTTTATACAAAAAAAATAAATAAATACATGTCACAAAAAACATTAGCCGATGTCTGATATGATGTCCGCAATGTCAATCAAATCATCACATATTTCATCCAGAGTGATGCAAATATTCCCGACACTGTAATTGAGCGGAGCTGATGAACTGCCCTTTATGCATGGAGCGCATTGTGTCGGGCGGCCACTCATCAAAGGAGCGTCCTTGCTCACAGGCAGATGTCTGCACACGTTACCTCTCCTCCGAGTCAATTTCTCCCAGGATGAAATACAATGTGATGATCTGACTCGGAAGCTTACGGGACCGAAAACAGCTCAATGCTACTTCATGCTGTGCAGACAGAGCTGCATTGATTGTAACGGATATGCTCGAGTTTAGTTGTTCGTCGTAATGAAAGATGAAGGGGAAAGCACAGTGAAATCGGACGCGTCATGTACGCATTACAAAAGTTGCACAGCCAAGTAATAAACAGAGAAGCCTCAATGCCTCTCCTGTGTAAGAGGAGACACTGGAGTGGCATTCAAAAGGGAATACATTAACCAAACGAGTCAGACGTTTGAACTTTGCTGCTGGGGGACAAGTGTGGGGAATAAAAAGTTGGTATCAATGCAGCGTGACGGACATTCACACGCTTGTGTGTCCAAAACACAGAGTCATCGATAGAGATGTTTAAAAAAAAAAAGCAATCAGAATAAAACTGTACACTTAAGTTTCAATGATAGGTTAATATTTGGACGTTTTTCTATTTTTCAGGATGACCAACGACATTCACGAACAAAGAAAATGCATTTTTTTTTTTTTGTCAGACTATGCTCAAACAGTCACACAAGCGTGCATTGTTGAGTCATTATTTATCAGATCAGCCAGCTGATTCCACAACTTATCATGGGCGGGGACCTTAACGTCACTCTCAATCCGGCCGCAGATGGCAAACGGTGAATGATTCCACAACCGTATCTGCATCCCGACTTTGGGAAGCTTTCAATGTGTTTCCTTACCCGAGTGGGGGATGATCGGGTGCTCCGTCTTGTGACACGGCGACTCGGGGAGCAGCACGGGGCCTCTCCTCGCCGCCACGCCACCGAACCGCAGCAGCAGCAGCAGCATGCACTGCAGCAGCAGCAGTGCATGCTGGCTAACAGGGCGTCCCATGGGGGCCTGGGCTCGGCTCACTTCTCCTCAGGCCTCGGGGGGCCAAGAGCATCGGCGAGACACACCTGGAGACCAAAAAGAAGAAGACGTATTTGGGTTAGAAAGAGGGTTCCTCTCACATTTAATCAGATCAGACTGCTGGAAAGCTTCCTCCGCGCTCGCAACGTATTATCCTGGCTATCACCTCGGATTCCGTTTGGGAGATAAAAAAGCAGCACAGATATATCCTTGGACAAAAAAAAAAGAAGGGAGAGCAAAAGTAGCGACAAAGAGTGATCGAGATTCTGCTGCCAAACAGTCTTGAGTGAGCCCCGACGCTTATAAATCACCCACTGTTTGCATTACGTCAAGCAGCGCGTGTGCGAGTGTCTTCCAAGAAGTTCAAGTGCATGTGGCGGTCTTATCTCTGACACACTTAACTGATAATGTGTGCATGCATGTTTGTTTCTTTCATTTCGTCTCTTTCCTTATAAGCAGGCGGTGAGAGGCGTTTATTGAATCATTCGTCATTGAGGTTGGAGTTTGCACTGGGGGGCAGAATGACGGGGTTTTATTTGCGTATGAAATACGGTAGAAATAACCCCTTGGGATCACAATGCTTGCGACCACACTTGACCTGCTACTTTCAATCAAATCTAAGCACGGCTATAAGGCGTACGTGCCAGATTTTCGATGCATTTCTGCCAGTCGATGTGCCAAATGCCGCGGCCGGCGAAGGCTAATATAAAGCCGAACAGTCCGACAGGTTTTCACTCGTCCCTCGATTGCCGCACGCCATGATGACATTCGAGCCACTCTTGCATCATTAAGCCTTAGAACAACAAAGCGGTGGGCACGATTGCCGCTCAATTGTGAATGATCTCTTTCTTTGCAGGAGCAAACTGATGAGCAGTCTAGACCGTCCACATCATTGCACTTTAATCATTTATGTGATGCCATTACCAAGATTGATTCAAGAAGAGCGGAATACAAGAAAGAGCCTCCCGGAGAGGAGTCTTTATTTCACTCGGCCATATGGGAGGGGAAGAAACGGAACGGGATGTGCAAAGTAAACAAGGGGCGGCTTCGACTAATGCATTATGTTGCCGAACTTGTGGAGCTTTCTTGTTATTTCAGTGCAAGGCAAACTGGCTTTTCGGGTGAAGTCCGCTCAGTGGCGGAGACGGCGGGGAGAAAAAAAGTGCTTTGTAAAGCAAGAACACAAAATTCCTTGGTCCATGAAAGAACCGTAGGTGTGCAACTGCAGCTTTTCCAATAAGCAAAAGCTTTGATCCAAGAAGTGTTGGTTCCGCAAAGGCAGTAAACTATCGTCGAATGGCAAGAAGATGAAGTCGAACTCTTCTCCTCTCTGAGGTCTGAAATCAATTCAATTCAAGGCTAAAGCGTCTTTGCTTCGGCTTCCCAAACGTCATGCCGAGTGTTTGCTGTGTTGATTTGATTTTCTCCTTGAACGCCAACTTCACCCTGCCTTTGAAATGAATCAACTCACGTCTTAAGGTCCGGAGCAAAAGTCACAGCAGGTGTAGCCACGTGTTTTTTTCATTACCGAGAGAGAAATGTTTAAGCACCTGTCATCTGCTCAGGGGAAAGTAAGTGACAGCATGTCACCTCTCTCTTGCTTTTCCCTTTCATCTCAACCGTCACATTCGGCTGGTTTCCTCGGCAGTCTTTAACTTCTTTTTCCACGACAAAAAGACACGCTTCCGCACAGGCAAGGGAGCGAGACACTTTCGTGAGAGAGGCGGCTAAGGTGGCTCCATCCAGTTTTTCAAGTGGGAAAGTTTTGAGAGTGGAGGGATCGCCGCTGTGTGGTGTTAAATGCTGCCGTTAACGTGGCCGCGGCACTCTGCCGGTATGCCAGTGAGCCACTCGCACTCGAGGCCGGGCTAAACGGGACGAGTGAACTGAAATTTCTCAGTTGACACAGCTGTGTCGCTGAAGCCGTTGCCAACCCCCACGTCCCGAAACCTCCGTAGACTTGTTTTGGTTCACCGTGTACATTTGCATCGTTTCTTATGGGTGAAGTACTGCTGATCGATTGGGAAGCGTCATCTTGGTCTCATGATGTCAAAAAAGTGAGCAACGTCGTGAAAATTTGGATTGAGGCAGGAAACCTGGTTGAAGAACCTTTTGTGAATTTTGCCCTTCAGCTCCCGAAGCTTTTGCAGGAGGCGTGCGCTTTACTGCATATGAATGCACGGCCAGATATTTAAGTTGACAGACAGACATTTCCATTTAGTTTGTATATCGGTTAAATGAGTGAACAGAAATGCGTTCGTGATATGCGCGGCAGACATTCGGCAAGCCTCCTCGATGAGAGACGATATGGACGTTATCAGACGTGGTGACATTTTACGTGCGTGTCAATGATTAGGTCATCGAAAGAGCAAACAGACAGGTTGCGTGTTTATGTCGGGATTATTCGTGTCTGCGAATGGGCCGCTAGATGTCGACAATATGGGTGCGCGGGAAAGGACAGAGGGGAAAAGTCCTTGGTCAAGTTCTTCCAAACTGAACTACTGCGGCTTTCATCGTATATCCTCCTCAAGTAATCTCCGGCGGAGCCCATTTTGTCGTGAGCCACGACTGGCCCTGGAGGAGAACACAGGGAGCTTTTTACACTTTTAGGCTGTCTAAAGTCTCAAATCATCTACAGGGCATATTAGTACACGCCTCCAAGCTCTCCCTGCTCGCCTCCCATCACAGCTCCACTCGGACTTTTGTTTCACAACCTGACAAATACAGAAGAGATGCACGCGGGAACAACTCCAGGACGCTGCGATGGATCACCCGACAGCAGCAAAGGGCATGCGACTGGGGAGGTTGCTGTACGCGATGTTCTCTTTTTAAAAAAAGGCTTCCGGAGCAGCGTAGGTCGCGCTACGTATTCCTGCAAGCGCAGAAGTCGTTTTGGTTGCGCTCGCAGACGTGCATCGTGAAACCAAACAAAGCGGCCAGTGCAACACAGCAGCTCCATGCAAACATTAGCAGTTAATGCACCCCCAGACTAATATCGCAGCAAGCTCCTCTTGACTTAAATGTTTAGCTCGCTCAAATTTAATTGCACCGGGTGTTCATCTCCCTTTAGTGCGGTTACTTTTGGAGGAAAGCGCAGAGGTTACACAATCGAGGATGTTTTCCTCCGAGCAAGCCGAGGAGCAAAAATGCAAAACCCTGCGTGATGGAGACATGATTGGTAGCGTTATTCCACTCTGCGCAAAAGGCACAACAAAATCACGCAATGTGAAACCCGCATGATGTACGGTTTGCTTCACGGCACCTCCGGCTGCTCAAAGCAAAAGTCGAGGCGTCGGCGAAACAATCAATTGAATTCTTCCCGCAGTAATGAGGATCATATTAACACTGCTATTGACTTAGTGGATATGGATGACACTATATATCATGAAGAGCCTCCTGCATAAATGTCGGCTTTGTATTCATGACCGTGACCAACACACGGGACCGCCGGCGCGCAAACAAACATCTCAAATGTCCAAACACACACACACACGCACACACACACGGGAGTGCGAGGCCGAGGTCGCACCTCAATGGCGATTGATGCCCTGCACCCAGACACGACACACACTAGTAAAAATCCACCCAGACTTTGTTTAAGGCCGCAAAGCACAAAGAGGCCAGTGAGGAGTTTGAGTTTGCATGCGCTTCTGTCTGTGCATTTCTTTGGCAGCGTGTTTGTTGATGTCCGTTTGTACGGAGGGATTTTGCCGCTCGTAGTTTGCTGTTATCTGCCGTCCGCTCTGATCAAAAACCATGAGCGTTTCTAAAGTGACTCTTGGTGGAGTCAAAACTTTTCCAATAAATGCAGCAAACAACCCAAACAAGCCGCTACTGCGGACACCGACATTTCCTGCATTCACACGCAATTTCCGAAGGGAATTCCAACTTCTTGTCAGGAGCGCCACTGCAATTAAACACCGCAGATGTCAGGAGACCTTTCATTTCCAGTGTTAAGAATATAGTCCGGTAGTCTGCCATTGTTTTTGCTGCCATCTGACTCATCGCTTGGCTGGGCACACAAAGGGGCCCGTGACGCCACCATCTATAAAGCGACCGCATCTTGCGACTTCACACACGTTGCAATTTCATGTGCATCATCTACAGGAAAATCCAAAGCAGGAATAAGTAAAAGGCACTTCGAATTCAAAATACCGGTTGTCACAACAACTCAGGTCAACACCACTTGAAATCGCTCATTCCTCTCTGTCGACATTTAGTGACATTTTTTGGGATGCTAGCGTCGTTCCTCAAATAGTGTTGGGGTGGGGGGGTTGCAAATTGACCCCACACGTGTCGACATTTAGTGACATTTTTTGGGATGCTAGCGACGGTCCTCAAATAGTGTTGGGGGGAATTGCAATTGACCCTACACTGGTTGGGTGGTGTTGGGATCCCAGCGTCTTGCTCCTGGGGGCCGGTTGGAGTGGGTGAATAGCTAGTCTGGACACCTCCGATGACTAACGTGCGATGCTGATTCATGACATGGCTCCGTAAACGCAGCCTGAGGGATTTATTTGCTCGGTGTGGGGCCACCCGTTAATTGCTCTACACTGCCCTCATGATGACGATCATGTTGTCATCTTCAACTGTCCTCTCATTTGCACTCAAATTCTTTGCATAGGTTTGGATTCTGCCACGCATCGATGGCATCCCTTGCTCACAAAGGGCCACATGCGAAGCCATACGCTCCCACGCGCTTCAAGGAGAAAAAGGCTGCCAGACCGATCGCATGCCTTGCTGATGCTTCAAGCTAATTCATCATTCAGCATGTATTGTATTATATTGTAGTCATGAAATCGACAAAGTTCACAAGATGCGACCGGCTCGTTGATGAGTTGAAGTGGTGTGTCCCTCTTTACTTTACAAGAAGCTGAACGACTTACACATTCCAGCTGGTCCACCTCAATTCTTGCGGTTGATTCATTAACCATTAGAGTCCCATCATTTTGTTTTACGCTCCAGATTCATTTGACATAAATTGCAATCTATGTCTCTTCGTATCTACAGCTGGGTAAATAAACATCCCAACCCCTCTTTTGGTGAT